TTTTTTTTTTTTTTATTGACTTTCTCTGCCATGTAAATGAATATTTGAATATTATGATGAAGATGGTTAACAAGTGTGTTGGCACTTTATGGCAGTTTGCCTAGTTGTGATAGAGTTTCCTGAGCTGAGTGCTGTGAAATAGTCCTGGTAACTTGATAGCAAAAACATATGATGACATATCACTTGTCTGTATATAGTGGGCTATGATAGCACATAATGATGCTTCTAAAAGTCAGCTTTCTTTTGTGATGGCTAATGCTGTATGGCAGCCCATTTCAGTTTGTAAATATTGTGACTAAATTAGAACAAGGCCATGCTAGGATTTTCTAGATGACTCTTTTGATGCTGTCCCTGTATATCTACCTGGGTATCCTTCAGAAAAAAATTGAGACTGAGACTGATACCATACCTGAGGAAAATGATGAAGCACAGCTTGAAATTATATGCATTTTCCCTTACTTTGCAACCTGCACAAGACCTGTAAGAGAAACTGTTTGGACTTGGAGCTAGATCTGGCAAATGTAATGTAGGGATTAGAGCCAAGTTCCTCTGTATCAAGAGTAAGACTAAGTACTTAGGAGTAACTTAGGTTGGGGCCTTGATATACAGCAAGTTTGGGCAGCTCTTGGAACTCTTAATACTTGGATTGCCTGTACTTTAACACCTTAAACTCGTTTTAAGCACACATTATGCAGCTCAAAGTTTTTAAGCCACTCCCATTCTGATTCATCCAGCTTGTGTTTACACTAAGGTGCAGCTATGCTAGGCTTGTGGCTGCCTGTGCTCTCTGTCCTGCAGAGTAGGCAAGGAAGGGTTAAGCTGCATGCCCAGAAGAGGTGGCAGTGGGGGCTGCTGCTGCTCTAAGCCAGCACAGCAGCCCGGCAACAGCACAGACCAGGCAGGCACTTTAACCCTTCTCTGCTTGCTCCCCTGAGACAATGCCAGCAGCTTCAAGTAATGCCCTGGTAGTGAGGAGGCAGGGGGAGCCCCAGGGGTGGAGCAGGGAAACATGGTGGGGAATCCAGGAGGGCAGAGGAGAAGCCTAGAATGTGGGTTGGGTTTCTTAACTTTCAGTCCTCTAGGCCCATGTTAGCCTAAAGTGATTGCTCCAAGGTTGAGCTGGCACTGACACTCATCAGTAGGGACCTAGTGAAATTTTGTAGTGTTTTTTTTTTTTTTTTTT